CTTCAGCCTGAGACAGTCTCAGGCTAACTCGTCAAATTATTGTCGGATGAGACGAAAGGAAACGGAAGGTCCCGAACCAATGAACCTCTATTGTATCGAGAGCGAGAACTCTCGCTCTCTGATCCACAAGCGAATTATAAGATGCCATCGCTGTCAGAAGATGGGACACTAAGCTCATGGGTGTAGTGTCCCAAGCACCGCATCATGTCCAAAGACAAGACGTGATGACTGCCGTTGGCCAAGGAAAGGTCCAAGGCGAGGGTCCGGCCGTGTCGCTAAATCACGATAGCAAGTCGGACCGCTAAAAACGGTCAGGGTCAGTAGGGGCGGAGCACCCTGCTGATCCAGCAACATCAAGAGAATTTGCAGGACTCTTGACGAAGATTGCTCTTAACACACAGCCTCTGCGTGTTACTGCCCCTAGTGATGAGGGGTCGCTCATCACTTTGAAGATCGAAGTGACAAGTGTTATGTCACTTCGCGCCCTAGTTGACTATGGGGCGTCGAACAGTTTTATTCGAGGCCCGTCGCTTAGGGATAGTAGGCGCAACTATGTTGAGCGAGAGTTTCCTCCAACGAGGATGACGGTGTGCCTTGCTACAGGTGCATCAGTAACAGTGAACAAACGTGTAGTAAGAATCCACTACACGCTAGAAGATACCTGATATGATGATGACTTTGTCGGATTGATTTAGGTGAATAACTTAATGTCATCCTCGGTCTGCCATGGCTTAGAAAATACGAGCCATGGATCAACAGGCAGCATCGATCCGTGAAGATGCCTGACGTTTTTTCATCAGATGGCCATCTGATAAACGTCTTGGAGCGTCCACAAGCGTGTAGTTGTACTACGAGTGAGTGCGATGGCCTCACTTGTGGTACGGTCGTTAGTACGACTGAACAAGATCACAGTGTAGAAGGCCACTACACTGTGGAATCAGCTTCCGGCACCTGTGTAGAGACACAGGCTATGACGAAATTTCACCACTCGAAGAGTTCGAGTGGACTGGAACACGGATGCACACCAAGAAGGTTGCATCCGAGGAGAGTGCTTAATTTTGTTTAGGATAAACAACATTATGAAGCAAGATCGACTAACAGAGAGTCGATTGTAAAGCAAACACGATCGACTAAAATAGAGTCTATCAAAGAGGACATGACTGTGGTAGTGCACCCACAGTCAGTACACGTAGTTGGAAGAAAGGTCCAGCGTTCCTGAGATTGATAAATCCCGAGAGAATTATGTTGAAGGTGTGGATCCCCAACCACCTGCGGATGTGTTTTCACAGGAAAGCACCGAGACAGTGAATGTCTTGGTGAATGACGGATCAAGTGTAGGCGCTTATACACATGATCTCGTAACACCTCCAAAGTCAGATTCGGAGGTAACCAAGTTGCCAACGCTATAATCTGATAGATTCTTACGAGATTTGAGTAGTGACAAGATCAAGCTGATCTGCGTACTCGTCACAGAGGATGAGTACGTCGCCTATATTCGGTCGGCACAAGTGTTTGCTGAGAACAAACGGGTTGTCAGTAGCTTATCGATGGATGAGAGTGTCCTCGTGTTTCGTTCAATCTGGGCCTTCTCATCGTCTCAATCTTGAGCGTTTTTGAAGACAAGTCCTTTGTGCAAGGATTTGATAGAAATCAGGGATGTTTTCTCGAATTCGTGCCAGGCGAGCTGCCTAAGGATAAAGTCACTCGACAAGTGATCGAACTTAGACTCGGTTCGAAGTACTGTGTCATGAAGAAGTGGCCACTGCCTCGTGAGCAGGTCACCGAGATCGATTAAATACTTCGCCTATCACTTAGCGGCAGGTCATGTGAGGAATCAACATCCCCATACAGCTCTCCGACCTTCTGTGTGCGAAAATCAACAGGAGGGTGGCGGATAATGCACGCGTTCAACAAATTGAATGCTGCAACGGTACCGGCTCAGACGCCGATACCAAGGAAGGACGTAATCATTGATGGTATGACAAAAAGTACCATCTTTTCGTCCATGGATCTGATGGATGGATTCTATAATATCCTCATGCAGTAACCTGACATCCTGTACTCAGCAGTGATCACCCTCAGTGGTATGCTCTGGGAATGGCTAGTAATACCACAAGAGCTTAGTAATGCCCCTGCAACGTTTAACATATGTGTTACGAATCTGCTGCGATCGGTGCGCGATTCCTCACCGAGTTACGTCGAGGAAGTCTTTGTCCATAGCCGCGCTATGGATGGAAGGATGGACGTGAAGGCTAAAGAAATCCACGTCCGAAAGGTTCTCACAATCATGCGAAAGCATCAATTGTATGCAAACCCCAAGAAGTGTATATTTGCAGCAAGCGAAATACCACTTCTTGGGTGCATCGTTGGTAAGAACGGTGTACGTCCTGATCCCGAAAATATTAAGGCGATCACCGACTGGCCTGTGCCGGTTGATGTCAAAGGTCTTCGAAAATTCCTTGGGCTGGCGGCGTATTTGCATAAGTATTCACGCAATTACGCCGAGATGACTGTACACCTCTCTCGTTTGACAAAAAAGGTGTGGTCATGTAGTGCTGAGTGTCAGCACTCCTTTGAAGGTATTAAAAAAGCCTGACACAATCACCTGTGTTAACGACTGCAGACCAGGACAGACCATTCCATGTGGTCTGTAACGCCATCGATTATGCAATCGGCTGCTCGTTAATTCAGTGCGACTCAGACGGCGTTGAGCGCATTGTCTGTTACCAATTGTGTCATGCGCAAGCAGCTGAGCGAAAGAAAGTGTGTTTGGTGCATGACAAGGACCTTCTTCCCATGAAGTATGCACCGGCCAAGTTTTGGGTATATCTCTTAGGAGATAGGCCCTTTATCGTTTAAGCCGACCGTGCGTCATCACGCACGGCCGTCAACAGTCCACGTCTCTCACAACGAATGGCGAGGTGGCTGTCTTTCTTCGCGGACTACAACTTCTCCGTCGAGTACAAACCAGGACGACTTAATGTCGTCGCTAATGCTCTTTCGCGTCGGCCTGGTTTTGATCCGTCTGCTCAACACGACAATAGGGGTTACCCCATTGTAGCGACTCTATCAGTGGGTGTTCCGTCGTCGGGTCTGCTCGACAACGTGCAAAAAGCATACGCAGAAGACGAGGATCTTCTTCGATTGAAGAATTTTATGTCTAATCCATGGCTTCAAGATTTAGAAAAGATTGATGTCTCAATACCGCTCTTTAATCGAACGGTATTCGGCTCATGATGGACCGCTGTACTATACAGCTGTCACATGCGATACACCTCGTGACGTAGTTCTCGCTTACTATAATATGCGATTGCACCTCACGTACGAGTGTATCGATGCCCCAACAAGTGGGCATCGCTGTAGAGAAAGGACTTACCTCACGGTGAGTCGTGACTTTTACTGGTCCAGCCAGTAAGCGTTTGTGCGCATATACATCCGTTCTTAATAATTTTTCCAACGGGCGAATTCTAGTCCTTGATTCCGCGCACCCTTGCAGTCTCTTCCGATTCTGGCAGAGTGTCGGCAGTCCGTATCGATGGGCTTAGTCTTCGGGTTTCCCAAAGACGTTCACAAGAATACTGGTGTTCTTGTGTTTATCGATCGGTTCAGCAAGATAGTACATCTAGTTGCTGTACCAAAGTCGATCACAGCCCAGGGCTGTACTCATGCCTCCATCTAAACAATCTTCCGCCTTCACGGTTGACCCCGTGAACTCCTGTCTGATAGGGACCCCCGCTTCAGAGCGGAGTTCTGAAAATCCGTGTTCTATTCACTTAAAACTCGTTTGAAGATGTCGAGTGCTGACCATCCAGAAACAAATGGTCAGACGGAACGCGTCATCCGCGTCCTCGAAGAGATACTTCGAGGGTATGTCCATTCGTTTGGAAGTTGGATTGAGTTCTTGCCGATGGCGAAATTCGCCATCAACGACTCGGTGCATGCATCGACAACACATCCAACATTCTTCGTGAATGGCCTACGTCATCCACGTTTACCCCCAATTAAAAAGGTGACTCTAGTTTAAGGGGCAGGTGGACTCGCTCAAACAAAAACTGATTAGGTTCTTGCTCATCACCCGTCGACACTGGCGTCGACGTGACGGATGCCGATGTTGACGCAATCGACATCGCTGATGATGATGATGACGATGCTGATATATTCAGCATCGCCAATAATTGCCACAGTGAGGACGACGACGCCCTCACTAACGAAAACAACGCTTTTTCAGCAGTGTACACGAAGCGCACTGCTGTTAACAAGGATGAATCAGCAGAGAAATTGCTGCTGACTCGCGAAGCGGTTGTCCGCTTCGCTCAAGACTTTATTGCAGATGCAGTAGACAGGCAGAAAAGAATCGCAGACAAACATGGAAGAGAAAATGTTCTTTCATTAAATAGAGGAGACCTAATTCTACTGTCTACGGTGAACCTACCGAAACACACAGTGACAAACGTGGGTAGCAGTAAATTACTGTCAAAGCAGATTGATCCGTTTCGTGTATTGCATCGCACAGGCAATGCATACACGACTGAACTGCCTCGTATGATGCTTACGAATTTCACGTTTTACGTTGGACATCTCCGCCTGTACTATAAGTAAGATCCCGTTTCGAAAGGCAAAAAAAAACACCTCCGCGGTCGAGGACAAAAACCACCTTCGAGTGGTCCTGTTATAACGAGCCAGTCAGGTCGACTAGCGAAACAACCTCCTCACGTAGTTATGCGATGTCCTGACCATTTGCAGTCAGCTCGTCACGACGAGAACAAACTGAACATTCGCTCTCAAGTTACGCGAACGCAAACGCGGCACGATCGTTCGAAGGATCGTGCGCTCAGGAACTGTAACTATCCCTTACAAGGTTGTAAAGCTCTTAACGCCGAGTCCATTCATGAGCCAGGTCATCGTGTCACTGTTTTGTTTGTTCAGTTCCCGCACATCAAGACGATCCGACCCTCTAGCCGGGCCAGGTATTTCCGCCTCCACCACATCCTTTGGTGGACTCAAGCGAAGGTCAACGCTTTCTGGTGGAGCGTATTTTGAACCACAGCGACGTAAATGGCGTCCAGACGAGTTACCTCGTCCGCTGGTGTGGCTGTCCACCGGCATGGAGCAGCTGAGAGCCTCGTGCCCAGCTGGTCGTTGATGTCCTGGGTCTCGTCGAGCAATATGACGAGACCCACCCGCTGCGTTCGAAGAAGGGCCGTCGGAAAAGACCTCCTCGAAAGCAAGTACAGGAATTGCAAAGTGTTAATCTCAGCCATCTCAGAAGATATGCGCTCCCTCCAGTAGGGATCATTAGGGAGGTAGACCTCCCTAGATGTACGGTTCGAGCTGTCTAGGCAATTTGGACACGAATCATCCCATGAGGGAAGGGTTATCCTGCCTCTCTTGACAGCCGCTGCATCTTGTATTGCACCCCGACTGGGTTGCGCTTCTCAAACATGATGCGAGCTGCATCAAGTTAACCGAGCCAAGCCTCACGGCCAATGCACTCGATCTTTTGGATGAGAGTTTTCCATCTCTTTACCTAGGCCTTACCGTCTCGGCCACGGGAGCCGTTGTTCCATTGATGTTTGAAAAACACATCGGTGAAGAACTATGTCCCAGTCCGGATAGTCTCCGTGCTGAAATTTGGAGGACAGATCCTCCTACAGTCGAACAACGGGATTCAATCCCGTTCGGTCGTCATACCGGCCACTCGATCTAAAAACTTAGATGACGGTATCCAAGGAGACTCCACTTAAGGAGCCTGGTGCAAAACATTTTGGTCCCTGGCCTCTTGATTGGTGCCAGCATGAGCACTGGCATCAGTGTTACCCCGATCCCTTGGATGCGAGTATTCGTCGGAATAATTGCTCGATCCGAACATCTCGAGCATGATGCCTCCACGTTGACCAAAGACATTCAACCTGGCCCTTGCAGTGTCCGCCCCAGATGATTCGAAGGCGTGCGGTGTCGCCTTCGAGTCGGATACATCATCCGACTCGCCAGAATAGATGATCTCTATTTCAGATTTATCTAGATTACGTTTCGCGGTACCGGCTGCAAATGCAGCGGATGTACCTGTCGCACGTGGTGACTCACCACGTGGACTATTCACAGCAACAGGCGACGAATTACCTGCTGCTGAGGTGTGAGAAGTACTCTCTTTGGCCGCATGCATGCGTGCAACCGCCGTCCCGGATGCTTCGGTAGAGCACCACATGGCTTTGATACCATGCTTCGAATTGGCAGATGAGTTAAAATTGGACGAACGAGTGCTCCTCTTTCCCAGAGTGACCCAACGGTGGAACGGAGAAACTTGTAAGTCTACTGACCTGTTCCGAGCCAAACAGATCCCTGGTTCGGAACAAGCCGGTAGACTCTCTAGTTTCTTGTCACACGACACGTCGTGCTACTAAGATCGCAAATTGAGTAGTATTTGATGTTATCCTATCCTTTAAGCTCCTTAACTCCATTATTTCTGTGCACCTGGGTTCTCTATGCTGAGTGGCCAGGAGCCATTAGACCTTAAAGGAACAAGTGGACCTATAAGCGAACAGGTTGATTGATGGGTGGCCAGGTCAGATTACGGTGGATCGAGGTCCACCTTAGGCGACCAGGCCGACCGACAAGTAGTCGAGAGCGATTCAATTGGTACCGTTTAATTGGTACCGTTAGTCGATTTGATCCCGTTAGCGGTAACCATAGCCGCTTGTCACGTTTGGACGCAACGGCCGCTCCTTCCCTGTTACCTCCAAGTCTCCGGTCCCTTTCCCGGTCGCGAGGTCCCATATCCGTCCGGCTCATCTTTTCTTAAGTCTATCATTTCCGAACGCCCGCTTCACTGCAGCCGCCCCTTGCACTTGCTTGACCGTACAGCAATTCGAGCACGATCATGTATTTGCCACGCTAGTCCCGTAAGCTCCACCTTCTCGTAAAACCGATATCTTGTCACTGTTTAACATGTGTGCTTGCAGCCATATCTTCACCGGGATCCGACTCACCATCTGAGGGTCCTGCTTCGACTCCTTCACCACCAGATGCACCCTCGGCAGAGGTCTCTGCACAGGCGGACGCAGTCGCAGCATCGCCTATCGTCTCCGATTCTTCAGATTCTTCATCTTTTGGTGAACGCAGGAGAGGCTGCCGTGACTACGCGGTCGACTATTTCACCGGTGGAGTCGGCTCCTGTCACCTTGTATGTGAGGTCGCCCCTAGTCGTGACTGCTATCCGTGCCGCTCCCGCTGATGTTGACTCGCCCCCACCTAAGGACTTTGTCGATAGCCGTCCTCCCATGAACGCACCACCCGTTGAAGTAGTGGTGTTGTGTTGCCGTGTCGAGGCCTGTAAGGGTCGGTTGGCTCTGATGTCTACGTTACCGCAGTACTGGTCGCTCCGATGTGAGCACTTGGAAGGGAGGTCAGGTGACTCCAGCGCTCTCGTGTCGCTGCTTTCCAAGAAGCTGCAGTATGAGATGGCTCTGACCGACCACTGGCGAAATCAAGTCGACCTTTCAAATAGTCGGACGTCTCTCCTTTCGTGGCAGAGATCAGACACTCTGATTTTGCGGGTGAACCTCTAAGTTGTAGCCGTGGCGTCACTCAAGAGCCGCTGGTCGGCCTCGTTGTCTGTGAATCGACCATGACCCCCGTGAGCGACCAAAGTCAAAAGGTCAACCAAGGCTATGTGGAAGTCGACCATGACTCAATCAGAGCGACTAATCGTGGCCCAAGGCATATCGTGATTTATCTGTAGTCGAAATAGCCTTATTTAGGTCACCAAAGCAGTGCAACGCTGGATGACAAAGTAAAGGATATGGCAGACTTTTTAACACGCCACGAGCGAACAATTTGGATGCAAAAAAGATTTGGAGCATGTTAAATCAGCAATAACGCCTACGAAGGGGGAACGAACTTGTTCTGAAGGCGACGGACCTTGGTTCCTGGGTGGGCTCAGAGGTGATTCTGTACTAACAGATCCATGGCCACGTAGAGTCCGAGAGATGAAGAGCGGCCAAGAATTAGACCGGGTCCGACCCCTCTTCGCACCCAGGGGACCAATAAAGTACGCGTCGAGGGAAACAGAGGTGCCGGATGAAGGAATCCAAGAAGATTTTGATGTCACATCGATGAGCGGACATCCCTGCAAAGATCCGACTGACGATCTTACGCCACGCCGAAGAAGCCCTACCCCGCTGTTTCTTCCGAGCGTTTCAGTACAAGGCAAAGAAGGAGCTTGTGCGGGCTTCATCCTCGAGATCTAGCGGCAGTGGGTAGCCTGCCAGAGTGCCTGAGCATGATCAGTCTCAAAAGTCGTGTACGCTTGAGCCAGGTCAGCGAACTCGCCAACCACCTTGAACAACACAGGAGGAAGAAGGACCTGGGAAGTTACCAAGGTCTAGCAGCCGTCAGGCTTCTGACCATCGACGGAGTGACCAGCGAAGATTACCACTTCTTTGGCCAATCGAGATTCCCACTCGGCGAATAGATCCAACCCCAAGACAGCTCCAATTGTTCGTTCATGTCGCCAGACCTCATGGTCACGAGATACCAAGAGTTTATCAAACCGACCGACCAAGGAGCCACCTCTCTGGCGGTGAAGACCCTCGCCTGAGCTGCGGCCGTAATCAGGCCTCTGGCGGGACCAGGTACTCCCTGGACGAAGAAACAGAACTACGAGTCACCGGGGGGTCACCATCCTTATGAGTTGGTAGCTAGGTCTCGGACCCGGAAGAGCAAAAAAAAATTTTGGTGAGAGACCGAGGAGTCGAAGCCTTTGGCATGTGTGTTGGGGCCGCAGGAGAAGTCAGAGGCGCAGCCTTCGGCCGTCGATAGGACGACCAATATCTCGCCATAGCAGCCCGGATCAGTTCGCTGTCGGGACTGAGGCTCACATCGGAAGATTTCAGTTCGATCGGCGACGCAGCTATCTCAGAAAGCTTAGAACGGTCTTTCAACCATCGGAACGTTCAGCGCACTGACCTTCACGGTCAGTACACTTAATCTGATCACGACTCTGAAGTTATATATAGTACTCATTCGCCAAAGGTGGAACCGGATCGGTTTTTGCGAGATCTGCGTAGTGGCAAAGTCAAGCAGACAAGCGTATTCGTCGCATAGGAAAATTACGTGGCAATAGTATCTACCGAGAACGAGTGGGTCCGGAGCAGCTCATTGATGGACTAAAGTGTCCTCAAAAAGTAAACTCGGATTAAACTACACACGTCTTAATCTTGGAAGCATCTTAAAAAAAATGGTTTGCTCCGTCATTCTTGTCAAAAAAATAATTTTCAATCCACCGCTGCTGCAACGAGTCTGTAACGAATAGAATTTCTTATAGCAAGCTGGTATGCAAATATCATCTGACTCTTTTTCATTAGCGACAGTGGGCTGTGCGTGCGCAGCAGCGATATCAAGATATTCCTTAGTAAGCGCGTCATTGCCCATACTCTTGTCATTTCGTCGATATTGACATTAACAATATCAGTATCAGATGTTGTGACCTCATTCTCAGTGCGTAATAGTGGTGATATGTTTTTTTGTACGAGTCTGTTCCCCTTTAGACCAGATTTTACTCTATTACATTTTTACCCGTGGATTTCGCAAGCCATTACGTAGAACGGTGCATCGGTCGTAGAAGCATAAACCTGATTGTTAACGGCGCATTGGACCATTTACGGGAATTTGATCTAGCTAATAAGTGAGTGAAAGTATCCTCAAAGTACCTCTTTTATGGACTCTTTTCCAGCTCGGTTTACACATCGTAAGTCGCGTTCAAGTGATTTAAACACAGGACGCCAGACTTTAGCGGTAAGCGTGAAACACTCTCGGATTCGAGATCAAGAAATAAAAAGAAGTCAACAGTCCGTGCTAAAAAAGACGCGAGCTCAGCCATCTGCTGTGATCAACTCTGGTACAGCAACCAAATGTACTATTGTGCTAAACAATCTACAAGCAAAAAAGTGGTATCAGTCTTGTGTGCGTCTTCGAGTAAACCCGAAAACAAAGTCGATTAAAGTGTCCTCCTATCATTGCCAGACTTGGTAGAGGATGCAATGGCGCAAGGATTGTACAGGACTTAACTTCACCCGTTGACGTACCTCGCAAGCGCGAACGTACTTGAGCACGATCTGATACTGGCTGGGCCAATAAAACTCTCTGTTTACCGTAAGTTTTTTTTTCACGACCACGATGTCCTCCTGTGAGAATCATGATGTTCATACATGAGCCGTAATTGCACGATTTTATAATGGTAAACGACGACCTTAGATGTGACGACTGAGTAGTACAGCATTCCTTTGCGGACAGTGTATCGATCGGTCTCAGACCGATACGCAGGCGACAAAGCTTAAACAATTCGCAAAATTGTTGTAAACAATGAGTGATAAAACCTGTAAAATCTCCTATTTATGGCCATATGCCTGTCTCACGTCTTTATAAAAAGTTGACCGCGGTACACTTGAAGTTGTAACCAAAACAGTTGCAGTGGGTGTTGGATTGCACAAACAGCCCGAAATCTCGTCGACGTGAGAGCTCATTAGCGACTACATTAAGGCGTCCTCGTTTGATTTTTAGTAAAAGTTAAATTTTGCAAAGAATCGCAACCACCTCTCCATTCTTTGAGAGAGGCCTGGATTGTTTACTGTCGTTCGAAATGACGCGAGTTCATTAAAAACAATTAGGTGCTTTTACCCTCATAGATAGGCTTAAAGCTGTTCCAGAGCATACTTCATGGCAAGGACTTCCTTGTTATCCACTGAATAAGTTATCTCAGCTGGTTTATGAAGAGACGATCCTGTCTCGTTTGATACGGTCGAGTCAGTATTGGACGACTGTTGGCCTTTTGACAGTAACGAACGAGCTCTGTGGGGAGCACTAGCAGAGAGGTTTACGGACGGACGGACGGACGGACGGATCAACTAACTAACTAGCTGATACAGTGGTAGCATTGTAAAAAATGGGCAACAGCCTCTCCATGTGCGGCTTGGGCGCCTCTAACAGCGACTACGACGTGCAGCGGGTGCGTGCGTGCGTCGTTCGTTGTCGATCTTTTGGATTCCACGACCTCGTGTGGACCCTTTGGCTCATTTGATCCCCCGTTGTGAAGCAGCATCACCAATGTAAAGACTTTGCCCGACCAGTTGACCGGTCGGTACTGCGTAAGCGCAAACACTCTTTATCCACTGCAACGGACATGTCTGTGGCCTCCATCCTCTCAAACTCGGAGCAGCTCATTCCTGACGCGTTCATGCCAATGGACATTCAGGTTCTATCTCAACGTCGACAACGGCAGTATCACCACCATTATAACGACTCGACTGGCTCGCGCTCGTCGTACAGCCTCAACTACAGCAGCAGTAGCAAGGCTTCGTCCCGAGTCAGCAACTTGTCGTCTCGAGGCGTCGGTCTGGTGCACGTGGTGCGCAATAAAACTGCTGCAGAGGAGTCAATTCCAAGCAGTGTGAGCAACAAGTACACCGTCGGGATCAAGACGGCGTCTTCTAGTTTCGGCTACAGTGATGACGAGGGCGACCCGGCCGCTGTGTCCAGTCGACGCGGAGACAGACCGTTGGGTCGGAGCTTTGAGTGAGTGAGTGCATCGAGAGCTTCTGCGCCATTAAACTGGCAAACGAAGGCTCGTATTTAGTTTGTAGTTGTGGAGAAGAAGACGGAAAAGCCCGACTCGCAGGCAGGCAGGCAGCCAGCCAGCCTCACGTTGAGTGTGGAGGCATGCAAAGCAGCGTTTTAAGCGCTTCAACGTCTTTTCTACGAGCGTTTTCTCTCGACCCGTTCACTTTTTGACCGCGGCTTTCAGCTCCTTGGCCTTGCGCCTGCACTCGCGATACGCCTCACTTTCCTTCTCGCACTCTTCGCCATCACGCAGTCCCCCGCTCTCAGCGGTCTTTGCCTCCACGCACCTGCACACAGGAGCAAAAAGTGGCTAAGTGTATTATTGTCCATTTTAATGTGAGACTAAAGTCGTCGAGAGCACTTACTTCACGTAGGCCTTCATTGCGTCCGCGCACGGGTCGTTGAGCGGTTCCGCGGGTTTGGCCACATTGGCGCCCATTATTGTATGTTAGAAATAGTGCGAACGACACGTGGATGATCCGAGTTTCTATCCCGCGTGTCTTGACGTGCGTTCTGTCACCCCCACCCCCAATGTAACCGTTCAAACAGCGATACTTGATTGCGTCAACAGAGTCGTGCGCACGTGTCTTCTGCAAGAAATTGCTTCAGTTGTTGCCAATGGAATTCCCAGGTGATCCGTTTTAATTGCCAGCCTTCTGATTTCACATCCTGACTTTCTGCCTTAATCTCTTGCTTGTTTCGATGTGGCTATGCCGTCTTCGTCTTTGAACGGGCCAACTTAGAAGTGTGTTTCCTCGCCTTTGGTTGGGCGGTAGTTTTAGATGAAGATGTTTCAGTTTTTACTGAAGGATTTCCATCTGGCAGATCGTGCTTTGCAGCATGATTCGCGGTGGTCCCCGAAGGGACCTCAGGAGGGGGTTAAAGTTTTCCTTCCAGGTCATCTTGGAGATCTTTCGCTTTGACTTTCTCGTCATCATAGCCCCTCCCAAACTATGATGATCTTGGGATCCTTTCTCTTCGTGAGTCTGTGGAGATTCATGTTCCGCTGACGCTCCAATTCCAGTTTCAGTCTGATCTTAACATCTTCATCTCGGGACTCACGGTAAAATCTTGAGTCATCAGAAGATCCGGGCACGCGCACCATTGTGGTGGAGTGGGGTTCGCTCATTTTTTTGAGGCGATCCCGACTCTCCACTGGCGCCCAGACGACCGACTAACGATGGGAGTACTCTGATTCCGCTTGCACTTGTTTCCTTTTCACCTTGTGTGCTCGTCGGCAGGGCGGGTTGCACTCTCCCAGGTGGACTCGACGAGATGCCAAACTTGACCGTTGTAGAGATTGGTGATGATCGGGTGGAAAATCCTCACCCGATCGCGTGTTCTGGGTTGGTGCTCTCCTAGAGTCGCCGTGATCAGCCCTGATCACCTTGTGCCAAAATTTGTACTTGAGTCGCGAGCCTTTCTGGCCACTTGAGCCGTCTCGCGACTTGTACTTCAACCGATACGGTTGGCTGCGTCCGATCGCAGTAGGGGTGTGTTGAGAGTCCTAGCACTCCTGGCCAAATAGCTCCAGGAGTGATCGTTCTATCCTTGATGTTGAGATTCTCAGACGTCGGGAGGCCAAAATATCCAACCCGGGAGAAGATCGACACGAATGTGTTTAGAAGCAAATTGAGCTCTGTTTAATGTTAACCAATCAGACCCTCACACCTTACCCCTGTAACTCAGAAAAGCAGATGACACGCGTCGCCTCTACAGATCGCCCCTTGTACCTATGTGGCACAGACCTGACACACCAACCGTCTGATCGCATCAGGGCATGGTCCACGCCAGATCGCGGTCCCTCAATCGCGGTCTCCTGATGCGGTCCCTTGATCGCGGTCCCTTTCGCCGTTCGGAACCGTTCTGAATGGATGAGATACTTCCGTGAATAATCCCAACGGTGCCATCCATACGATTGGTCCTCGTCCCACGATCGTTCCGCCGGTTCCCACTCCGTACTTAGGCATACGTTTGAGGTTTAACCACACCGATCTTGATCGACTTTACCACAATTTTCTCCTAAAGTTAATTGGATTTCCACAGCACGTTTGCTCACTGTTACGGATGCGCCTGTAGCAAGGCACACCTTCATCCTCGCTGGAGTGATCTCTCGCTCAACATAGTTAAGCCTACTATCTTCTAGCGACTGGCGTCGGATAAAACTGTTCGACGCCCCACAGTCAACCAAGGTGCGAAGTGACATTGCACTTGTCACTTCGATCTCCAAAGTGATGAGGGATACCTCAGCACTAGGGTCAGCAACACACAGCGACTGTGTGCTGGGATAAATTTTCGTCAAGAGTCCTGCAAAATTTCTTGACGTTGCTGGATCAGCAGGGTGCTCCGCCCCTACTGACCCTGATCGTTTTTGACGGTCCGACTTCCTGTGGCGGTTTAGCGAATTGGTCGGACTCGCGCCTCTGAACTTTGGTTGACCAATGGCGGTCATCACGTCATGTCACTGGACGTGACGCGGAGCTTGGGACACTACACCCATGGGCGTAGTTTCCAACCTTCTGACAGCGATGGCAGCTTGCCGTTAGCTCGTGACTCAGGGAGTAAGAGTTATCGCTCTCGATGCAACAGAGTTCCATTGGTTTGGTACCTCCTTTTCCTGTCGTCTCAACGATTTATAGTCAAACGAATTAGCTTGATACCGTCTCAGGCTAAAGTCCTTTTGTTTCGCACATTCTATCGCCTTTTTCAGCGTATGGAAGTCCTCTAGGAATATGTAGGTCTTAATCCGTCCATTCATAAGACCGTTGATGAACTCCTTGATGAGCGTTTGCTCATCAAAAGGGTTTTCCGTGACGCTACTCGCAAGGTAGCGCAGGTGCTGTGGGTAAGCATGCACATAACACTTATCTTTCTTGAGCCTTAGAAGTGCAGAGCGTGATCTGAACTCGGCTCTTAGCGGCTTAAACGTATCTTTGAGCCGAGACTTCACGATCTGTAACGACTCAAACACGTTTGGGACGTGAAGACTAATCCCTTAGTTCCAAGTCTTTGCTCGTCCTGTCAAGTTTTATAGGGCGAAGGTGACTTGCATCTCGTCATTCTCGATGTGACGGGCCCTGGTGGCGTTGTCTGATTCGACAAATCATCTCAAAAGGGAATGTGGTGGAGTAGCGATCGCTCATTGTATGAGTCGATCCCAACTCTTCACTGGCGCCCGGACGACCGACTAACGGAGGGGGTACTCCGATTCCGTGTGTGTTGCCTTCCTCACCTTTTGTACCCTTCGGTAGGGAGGTTTGCACTCTTCCAGGTGGACTCGTATTGAACGAAAACGTGACCGTGTTGGGGATAGGGTTGTGATCGTGCGGAAATCTTCACGCGATCACGGGGTACTTGTAGGTACTGATATAAAGCTACCCTGATCTCAACGAGATCGCCTTGTCCACTATGTGGTTGCTTGATCCGCGAGCCTTCTGACCACTTGAGCCGTCTCGCGATCTTGCGCCTTGCCTTTAAGTGTCTTGCTGCGTCCGGTCGCAGTTGATGTTGCTTGAGAGTTCTTGAACACACCTGGCCAAACCAATCCAGGTGTGACACTTGCGTAGATGTGTAGCGCGACTCTTTATTCGACGGGGAGCCAAAGATCCTACCCGGAAGAGATAACGTGTGCCTTGTGAAGTAATTTGAACTCTGTTTAATGTTAACCAACCAACCTAAACCCTACCCCTATGCCTATCCGTATAACTTAACCCGATGCCACGCGTCGCCTTTCCAGGAAGATCGTCTCCTCGCATTTGTGTGTTCCACACCCAGTACATCAACCGTTGTATCTTCTTGTGGCCCACCCAAGATATCCCCATGATCCTGCTAGCGGATCGTGATCCTACTAGCGTGTCGTGATCCTACCAGCGGATCGTGATCCTACTAGCGGATCGTGATCCTGCTAGCGGATTGTAGCTGAGATCGAGGGTCGTGTCTTGCCATGTCTCACGACGGATTGCGTAATCAAAACGGGTGTGACCACCCTTCAGCCTCGTCCCAGGCTGGACGATCCTGTCCACTTGGGGTATGGATACGCTATTGCCAGCCACCCGTCCCGGCCTGTATCCACCAATCATAGCATTCTTTGCTTAACTGGGGCATGCTATCCGTGCGATCGCCGATCCAAGTCCCAATACAACTTTTCTTGTGACCGCTTTGCCACAACCGTCACCTGCACCGTCAGTCATCATACGGTGTTGATCTGGCTGTGCAACCTTGTGTGCTTTATTCCTTTTCACGCACTTTCGCATCTTCTGACATGATGTCCGATACAGCCCATCCGGATCAGGTATCTCCTCTTGCTTCAGAATCGGGGTCCCTCGGATCGCCCTCTGCGATCCCAACTTCAGATGTCGGAACCTCGACGCCTACCAGTCCTGCGATCTCAGACGTCTCCACCGTGCCGGTAACCGAGTGTGATCGCTCGGCTGTAGTGACGTCGGCGCAGATGGGGGAAGGCTCTGGCTGGTTTTCCATTGCAATCCCTCTATCGCGATCCTCTACTGCTAAAGCCGAGCCGTCTCCATTTAGCAATCCTAAGCTTTCGTCCGCTCCCACGGGAACCCGCGATCCTAAGGGTCGTCGCGATCTCAAGAATCGCCATGATCCAGCGAAGCCTGCAGCTACTCCGAAACTGGGCAAGCAGAAGCGCCGTTATCCGGGATGAACCTCGTCTGAGGGGGAGGATACATCGGCAGGTGATGATGAGACTCTAGCGGCTTTATCCGGCTCGCGGTCCTCCAGTCGTCGTCGAGCGTCCAATCTGCAGGCACAACCTTCGACTGGGCCTTCTCCGGATCTGATCGTCATAGACACGCCGAGCCCTTCGCGCGATCCTCCACCTCCGGTTGATCTTGTTATTCCTACCGTGACCAAGATGTCTCGCGCAGACCTTTTCGGAAAATCGTCCAGCGACTCGGATGGTGCCATCAGCCTTTCTGATTCGCCTCATGATCACGTCAATCCGATGTTATCTCTGGTGGATTATGATAGCTTGCCCCCCCAAGGTCTCTCGCGACCATTGGATCCCTGGATATCGAGATCGCGTACCGCGATCGTTCACTCAGGTTTCTCCCTGGTCGGCACGCCAATTGGACGAGCGTCGCGGAGATGCACACTGACTTCCTGTACCGCCACTTATCCCGCCCCAAAGGCTTTATCCTCCCGACGGTAAGAGTGTCCAAGTGTCCTCCTCCCACATCTGAGTGGTCACCTCGGCTGGCGTGTTCGGCTTAGATCGCGGCCTTATGCGCCCAAGAGCCCTAAGAGACATCCACACGTCGGATTGAGCCGATCTCGTTCCCTCGTACCGGCTGGTTTGATCAGCTCGCCTCTCTATACTTGGAGTTAGAGGATCGAAACCGACAGGCTTTGTGGGAGTCTAAGCACGCGGTCTTCCTTTCCAGTGGACAGCGGGCCAGCGATCCTGAGCTGGACCAGTTCTGGAAACAGCGGAAGCAGCGTCGGTCGCGAGCTGGGCCTCGGTGGAAGGCGATCCTTCGATTCATCTTGCAAGGTATGATCGCATGTCATTGTGATCTGGACAGTCTGTTGGTTCCCTTCTTTCTGCACTATCCTTCTTTCACAGAGGTTTCCCCGTGGTATCCTGGCCTGGGATGCAAACCAAAGGGCATCCCCAATTTGATCGCTGCTCTCCCGTTGCTGGATGCCGCTAAATCTTGGCGTTCTCAGTATCTATTCTCTATTGCTGACCATCCCGCATCATCGATCGTACGATTGCCAGGTGAGTTTTTTCCTGCTTGATTGCTAGGAAATGATTCAGATAGTTTCATAATTCAGTATAATCTCTTTTGATCCTTCACCTTGTTCTCCATCTTGAAATCAACTTTTTTATCGGCTTTTCAACCGCGATCGTATCCCTTCGATCCGCTATCGCCACTCATGTTTCATATAGCCCCGATCCATCATCTCATACAACCTCCCTGCACATAGGCCCATTTACCATTTCACGTCCACCTCTCAGAATGCGCCAACCTCTCATTGCTTTTAATACCCGTTAAGCTTCGGTTTCCTTCTCATAGGAATGCATAACTTCAAACCGGTTTTGACTCGCACGGTTGCGCTCAAAATCTTGCAACAACGCGCCACAGTTCAGGTCCGCTTCGCCTATCCAGGTGGGATCGTCGTGTTGCTTCCATTGAATCAAAAACTGTCGATGCACTCGGCCATAACGAGTTTTACGTCCTGATCGTACATCCAAAATTCTCTCTACTTCGTATTCGCAGGAAGCCAACTCGTTTTCCCAATTATCTTCCGGCAGCAACGACTCATCGAAATCCACACGATCCTCACAGTTATTCACTAGCACACTGCCTGGGCGATCGGGAAACTGTACCACTGGCTTTAACTTGGAGACGTGCACGATCGAGAACAATCTGTATGGAGTTCCTGAAATCTCCACCCGAACAGCATGCTCCACACATAACTCCGCCACTTGGAACGGCCATGCCACATATGTGCTAACTTTCGAGCACAGCCGTCTTTGACTCGGTCCAAGTAGAGCCAAACTTGCAATCCGCACTTAATATCACACACTTCATTATTGTCACTGTGTCGATCCGCTCAATCTTGAATTGCGATCTTGAGACGTTCGTTTACCACTGCTCTTGCCCTCTGACATTGACGTTGGACGTTATATCGCCACCTTCTAGGGTCAGCATCGCGTGTTTTGGTGCTCACCAACGGTAATGTTGCTTCCAACGTCGATCTTGGATTCCAGCAATGGATCAAATAGAACGGCGTGTCTCCACGGATCCGATCTTGTGCCGTATTCATAGCGAATGTCAATCTTTCTGCATATTCATCCCAGTCTTTCTGTTCTACATCCGTGACGTACATCTTAATCGACCGAGTCAACGTCTGTACCATACGCTCCGTAGTTCCGTTCGCTTGAGGTCGGTACGCCATGGTCGCACGTTGCTTTTGCCCTGCGATCCGATCAAATGCTCGAAAAAAGTCGGACACAAATCCAGGCTCTCTGTCGTGACGTATAACTTCACTGGCTCCAAATCTTTGAAACACACATTCTTCATATCCTACAGCGATCGTTTGCGCGGTCCTCGACGAACTTGCTCTCGCGATCACACATCCTGAGAAAAGATCTATCCACAGCAGCAGTTCTGTGTTTCCTTTAAATGACCGCGGCAATGATGGGATACGATTTATCGCGATCACTGAAATGGGTATGTAGCCTGTACGTTTCCCGGATTTCTGCCGCGGATCGCGGGTAGACCCTTCCCGGTTGTACAGTCCACGCATTCGCCAACATAACGTTGTATACTACGATACAATCCTCTCCAGTGAAAATTGGATTTTATCCGCTGATAAGTCCTCCCGATCCCCTGGTGACCACCCTCCAAGCTTGTGTGGTAATGGTGCATAAAAATCTAGCTGCAACAATTCGGGTACAACCAGACGGACCATCTCTATACGATCGTCCGATTCCTTAGCGGATCGGGGGATGAAGAACAGCAATCCGTTTTCGTCCACTTCGTAGTCTGGAGCAATCCGAGCGCATAATTTTGCATCCTCTGCATTTAACTGGTTCAGAGCCCACAAGATATTCCTTCAGGTTGTCGATCCAGCTCTCTTCTACTTGCGCTTGTGTTATTCGCTCGATCCGCATCCGCTGCACTATTTCTTCTTGTAAAACTTCGGGTTGTTGACGCCTTCGCTGCGCAGATCGTGTGATCGCTATCAATTTCACCACGCGATCCGTCCTTTCCGGCAGAAGCAACTCGTGCAGCCTGTTGAGTGATATCAAATTTTGCAATTCTTGATCTAAGTTCACAATGACACCTTCCTCTTGCTGCAAATCTGCACTGGCTAGTCGATCCGCGCTTTGGTTTCACTCCCTCTTCATGTGTAGGAACTCGTGTTTTGGCCAAGATCGAAGTTTCTGTATTGCTTTATGACGCAATAACTGTAGCCAGGGCGCTTTACAATTCATCTCTCCCTGCATTTGCCTGATCACTAGGTTCGAGTCACCACGTATTATGACTCGTCCCCCTAGTTTGATTGTCCAGCAGATCGAGACCCAACAACATACCACGATATTCTGCTGCATTTACCGTCAGATCTGCCGCGTATTCCGGAGCGGCTGAGACGATGGTCCATTCTGGTAGCTTCCATACGATTGCAATATATGCCCCGCTCTTCCGTTTAGTCCGTGCCGATCCGTCGAAACTGACCACCAACAGGCATTCATCCGTACCTACCGTGGGAGGTAGCACAGTTACCAATTGTTTAGGCTTCTTCTGTGGAGCGATCGCAATCAACACATCATCTAGCTCATCTTGCAGAGTTATACTAGCTGCGAGAGCGCCTAGAATTTACCCCTCTCCTTGTTATATCTCTTGACCTCCAGTGTCCAATTCGATAGCAGCGCAGCCCATTTTCCCAGTCTCCCATTGAGGCCAGAAGATTGAACTAGCCAAGTTAATACCGAACATCGAGTGAGCAGCCTGATCTCTCGGGATACAACCATGGTGTAGCACACTTCCAAGATTCGAAGTAGGGCTAAAACTTCTTTCTCCACCATACCATAATTAACTTCATTAGTCTTCAGTGTGCGACTCGTGAATGCCACCGGCCAGTATACGCCGTCCTATTCTTGCAATAGAGATGCCGATACTGCCCACTTACTAGCATATACTACGATCACTGAAAGTCGATCGGGATCGAAGTGTTTGAGGATCGGGGCTGTAGCGATCTTGGCCTTCAGCAAAATGAATGCAATGCCGGCCCTTTCCCACCGAAATCGCTCATTTGGATCATGCTCACCCCTTTTAGTGAGTTATCGCAACTTCCCGGCATCGCATCACGTTCTCCCATATGGCTCATCTCAAAAAAATCTGTCTCTCGTAACTCGTACAACACAGATGCATATACTGCAAAATCTTCTATAACACGACTGTAACAGTTCAAGATGCCCAGGGACGATTGCATGGATCGCAAAGTTGGGAAAAGGAATGGTGACCAGCGATCCTAGATCGTTAGGATTGGTCTCCAACCCAGCCAAAGATACCTGATGACCTAAATGATCCACCTTACGCCGTCCCTAAAAACACTTGGTCAGACTGATCGACAAACATCATCGATCGCATGCTGTCAATAATTTTTCGATCTTGTCGTACAAAGATGTCCATGACGTAGCCGGGATCAACATATCGTCAATATAAGATCGCCTACCTAGCACTGACGGCGCTTGATCCGTTTTCGGCTCTCCCTCAGTAAACACATCAGTTAACTTAGGATGATCCGTTGCATTCACATCCTTACCTGCGCCGATCTTAAGATAACTATGTAGAGCATTATCAATCAAACGCTGATAGATCTGTGGGGTGTTCTTCAATCCAAAAGGCATCCGCAACCATTTATACAACCCTGACGGCGTGATAAACGCAGAGATCGATCTTGCTCGTTAGGTCATCTCTACCACTCAAAATCCACTCGCCATGTCCAGCGAGCAATACCACATTGCTTTGTCCATGTCCTGCAACAATTTACTGATAAGTGGCATAGGGTACACCATCAACTGTGTCAACTGATTAACTCGTCGATTGTCGATACAAAGTCGGATACCTTCTCCGTTCTTTTTAGTAATCACGACTCTTGGTGATACCCACGGCGATGTCGAAGGTCGGATAACCTTGGCTGACAACAGGCCTTTTATCAGATCGGCCAACTTCTCACGAAACTTAGGCGCAACAGGTCGTACACGCTGAGCGATCGGCCTCGCCTCTCCCACATCAATATCACAAACGACACCGCGTGCTGCAGGGGGTAATGTAGTTCCTTTTCCGATTAACAGGTGATGACTCTTCCAGATCAGTCTTCGCAAATCCTCTTGAGCCTCTGTCAAGGGTATTCCAGGATCGCCAACCTGGACATCGTCTACTGTTATCTCGGTCGTGGGTATGGTTACCTCCGGCAGTACAGCCATGTGTTGCTCCAAATCTTCCGCGAACAGTTCACCTCCCTCGTGATAGTAGTTGATTCATCCGGTACATCATTTTTCATTACTTCGCCGTCGATCGTAACAGCTTTCACGTCATCGTCCAGTCGTGTAGACTGGCCATGCACCTCCCGATCTTCAAACTTGATCACGTATAGGTCACAGTTGAACTTTCCTTGTAGCGGATCAGTTGTCTCACGGTTGTCTTTCAGTGTCACAGCCTCCTCTGCAACCATGTCCTCTTCCACCGAATGTTCTGGCGTCTTCCGCACTGCGTTGACCGCACACGATCTCATTGTCGGTCTATCATCATTGTCTTCGTTATTCTCTCCACTCGTACATTCTTCCTGCAACTCCTCATTAGAGTCACCATTAGAGTAGGATAGTGAGACGATCTCTGCAGAATCCTTGATGTCGTCTGATTTCCGTTTTGAGCGTGTCAAAATTCGGGTAGGTTTCTCATACGTAAGATGATCCGCTAACGGGCCCGTGTAGGCTTCAGATTCTTCTTCTTCTCGATCTGTAGTGTCTTCAAAAGCCAATCTGCCATTCCATGTACCGCCGCGATCCTACAGATACGTATCTTTTAGATCGCGGGATGATGTCTTCTGTCATCCACAACGCTAAAGGGACCCCGCAATTTAAGATCAAGTCCCGATTGCTTACATTTGTAAGCTGCAGAAACCTAATCCTTCCGGTACCATTCGTCACGGTAAGAATCCACGCCACATCGCGTCGCACCCAAAGATTAGATTTAGGAGGGTTGAAGCCGATCCTGACTTCTGCCGATCTACCGGCCGCAATGTCTACATGTTCATCGTTAATGTTTACCGCCGATGTATTCGATCGGTACGGTGGTCTTCGTCCAGCCAGACAGATTCGAACTTCATCGGGAAGGCAAAGGGTTCCGTCGGCCAAATCCAAACGGATACCTGCAGGAACCACGAAGTCCATGCCTAGTATAGCTTCTTGACCGACTTGATCCCCAACCCAGACATCAAAATAATACAATAGTGATCCGTTCAGTGTGATCTTGATCCTGGTCCGTCCTACCGTCATACAAGTACTCTCTCCAATCTCAACACATTCTTGTGTTTAGTTCTCGTCTATCACACACCCTACCTTACGAGCAAAGGTAGTGTCGATGACCGAGATCTCCGCACCAGGGTCATACAGAAAAAAGGCCTTCTCATTGTTGATCTTGCCCACTGCTTTCGCTTGTTTGAACCATTTCACGGAGTATGATACTTCCAGTATCCCCTCGACTCACCTGGGGTGAGATCGAGCTCCATCTCCACCGGGGATCGGGCATAATAGTCCACTCGCTTCACACTTGATATTAAAGAGGTCCGTTTTGAACGATCACATATACTAGAGATCGGATCGCGCCGATCCTTAACTCCTTGGTCATCGGACTTCTTCGTAACAAATTCATATTTGCATAGCCCAGAACGCTCGGCTCGTGCCAAATTCCAACCTGGCGAGCGTCCTCGTTTAACATTTCCTCGACCTTCGGAGGAAACATACACGCATGCTTAGTAGGCATATACCACTGGCGGATCACGTTGAAGAACTCTTCCATGGGGCATTTGCTATTCTCATGTAACTCTCCACATGCTGCACACACGTAGAAGCACTTGTCCGATGGATGCCCTTTGCGACCGCACTTCCGGCACGTTTGTCTCTGCCAGCATCCACGATCATCAGGTCGCGTCGATCCGCAGTGGGAGCATGCCTTCGGTTTTCCACCTCGATCTCGTCCATCTTCTTCACCAGCATTCTTCTGCCAGGTAAGATGATCTTGATCCGATCTCCTCTTGACCAGATGTAGTGGTCACACAAACTCGGCGGCAATCCTTGTCTTCATCCGATCCAATCGAGTCTGATTCCGATCCGCTACTTTTGATCCGCTCACGGATTGCCCTCATCGCCCGAGTAGTCTTCGATGACGTAGGATTTGGGGAGGCATTCGCTCGAGTGGAACTTGTTCGATCCTGTCGACGTCTTCAACTGACGACTTTCCATCCGTTTGGCATGCACGTAACGTCTCATCCAACTCATTGACATCGGTCAATCGCAGTAGAGTAAGCTGTTTGGCCGGATCGCGATCGTCCGACGTGGCAATGATATGCTCCACATGTTCGCGACGTGTGTCCGATGTGGCCATCCTCTCGTCTCTGATCGCGATCTTGGCATTCTCAGCCGCGACATTTAGGCGGTGTAGATACTTCTGTGGATTTTCATCCGATAATTTCCGTGCGAGATAGCATTGTCTGGCCAGAGACACACCTTGCCCTCCATACTGTTCCATTAACTCATCCAGCAATCTCTTCCACTACTTTCGAGTGGATAGAACTAGTTTGTTTTACCAGTTTCGAGCGTGTCCTTTTAGCAGATCTCCAAATCCAAACATTTCTTCTCATCGGGTGCTTGATCGCGCAAGAAGGCCGATTTGGCCTTGCTGATCCAGCTTCTGGCCCGATCTTCATCTTGATCCTTTCCACTGAATTCTTTCAGCTATGTCATCGTCGACACTCGAATGCGTTGAGGTATGCTACCACCATCTTGCAACGTCTCGGTCGTAGCTACCATAGCGTGTCTACGATCTTCTTGTCCCGAATCATCGGGATCGATGTCGTCAGGGTCGAAAACCTCAGGTTGACTGATGCGCGACTGCACCGATTCCATCTCCACATCGGGGGTATATCTTACACGGGATCTAGCATGCTTGATTCTTTGGCTAAAGTAGATCGCTTGATACGCTCGTTCCCATTGATCTTGGCGAAAAAGTTCCATGGCCTCATCGAGGTATGTCTGCATGAGTCCTTGCGTAGTAGTCATCATCTGCTCTTTAGTGTCTACGGCCTTCGATCGCGAGTTCAGCTTCACGACTCGACTCGATCACATAGATGTGTTGCACCACTTGGGCCTAGAGAAAATCGCTGGATGCCGATGAAATCGTCCGATTCCATCTATGATTCCGCCGAGGCATATTGTGACGATCCGGTACGATACCCCCTCGGGAAATCGGCGATTGTAGCAACCGCTTTGATCCGCGGATTCGCACTTCCCCTTCAGAGGAATTAGCTTGTCATTACAGCGATCGACACGCATGGATCACCTGATCCTGATCGCATTCCAGCAGCTCGTTCGCATCGAATACCATAGCGACGTATCCAGCATCTTGCAGCAGCTGGATGATCGCGCTGATCTTTTTCACTGCGTTAGTCGCCACCTTCGGCCGAGATATCGGACCTTGTATCTCTCCGATTAGCTTAGGATTCAGTATCCGTAGCACGGGGTCATTCGATAGCAGATTCTTGAGCGCCTTCCAATGGAATCCCTGCGACAATTGATCCAACTGCCAGCCTTCCATCTTCATAGCCAGAGCATCGTCCACGAACTTGATCGGTTTCACGATCGGTTTCACGCCGCGATCGTGTCGATCCGATCTGGGCTCTTCTTTCTTCACTCGATCTTTCTTTAAAGTCTTCTTCTTCGACATTGCCTGAGTGATCTTGTGTAGTTTTTGTTCAGTTTTAGCTAAAGGGTTTTCACCCACCGGATCGTGTTTTGCAGCACGATCCGCGGTCGTCCCCAAAGGAACCTCAGGAGGGATTTGGGCTCTATCTTCCAGATCGATTGATCGATCTTCCTCTTCAAATTTCTTGTCATCAGAGCCCCTACCAAACCTCTGATAATCCGGGGATCCTTGATAATCACGCGTCGAAGGCGATCCCTTAGCCTCTAACGCTTCCATCCCAGGTTTAGTCTTGACTTTCACCCCTTCAATTAGGGACTCACGGTGAAATCCCGAGTCTCCAGAAAATCCAGGCACGCGCGCCATTGTGGTGGAGTGGCAATCGATCATTGTATGAGTCGATCCCAACTCTCCACTGGCGCCCGGACGACCGACTAATGGAGGGGTTTTCCGATTCCGTGTGTGTTGCCTTCCTACCCTTTTGTACCCGTCGGTGGGGCGAGTTGCACTCTTGCAGGTGGACTTGTGTCGAAGGAAAACTTGACCGTGTCGGGGATGGGGTTGTGATCGTGCGGAAATCTTCACGCGATCACGGGGTATTTGTAGGTACTGATATAAGTTACCCTGATCTCATTGAGATCGCCTTGTCCACTATGTGGTTGCTCGATCCGCGAGCCTTCTGACCACTTGAGCCGTCTCGCGATCTTGCGCCTTGCCTTTAAGTGTCTTGCTGCGTCCGGTCGCAGTTGATGTTGCTTGAGAGTTCTTGAACACACCTGGCCAAACCAATCCAGGTGTGACACTTGCGTAGATGTGTAGCGCGACTCTTTATTCGACGGGGAGCCAAAGATCCTACCCGGAAGAGATAACGTGTGCCTTGTGAAGTAATTTGAACTCTGTTTAATGTTAACCAACCAACCTAAACCCTACCCCTATGCCTATCCGTATAACTTAACCCGATGCCACGCGTCGCCTTTCCAGGAAGATCGTCTCCTCGCATTTGTGTGTTCCACACCCAATACATCAACCGTTGTATCTTCTTGTGGCCCACCCAAGATATCCCCATGATCCTGCTAGCGGATCGTGATCCTACTAGCGGATCGTATCCTACTAGTGGATCGTGATCCTACTAGCGGATCTTGATCCTGCTAGCGGATCGCAGCTGAGATTGAGGGTCTCGTCTTGCCATGTCTTACGACGGATTGCGCAATTAAAACGGGTGTGACCACCCTTCAGCCTCGTCCCAGGCTGGACGATCCTGTCCACTTGGGGTATGGGTACGCTATTGCCAGCCACCCGTCCCGGCCTGTATCCACCAATCATAGCATTCTTTGCTTAACTGAAGCGTGCGATCCGTGTGATCGCCGATCCAAGTCCCAATACAACTTTTCTTGTGACCGCTTTGCTACACTTCCATAGTATCCTATGATATCTCTGTGGCCCAACTCCATTATATCCTTGGTCTTCTCTTGTCGGTAAGGTAATTTTGAAAATGTCCTGACAGCCTCTTTGCCCATGATGCACCCTTCGCATATCACGGCGTCATTTTCACCGCCTTGGTTCTTCTTGATCTTAAAACCAGCGACGCAATTTGCCATACCCTTCAGCACCTTCGTTGGCAGGTGAACTAATCTTGCATGCTACATCTGTAGATCAGCCGCACTTGATCCGTCATTTGATTAGTACTCTTTTATGGTCGCTTCGCAGATGTTTGCTGGATCAGCCGGCCTGCAATCCAAGACCTATATGTTGTTCCGTCTTAGTACTTAATCAAAAACTTCCGCGATACCTCTGACCTGACAGCATAGATCTGAGAAGGTCATTTAAAGAACGTTTGCTTACAAGGCCGATATTAAAATATCCTTCAGTCTAGGACGGTACCCATTGCGTCTTTTCGGTCTTGATCACTTTACCATTCTTGAGCTGTACACGCAGTGTCCCAACACCTTGCGCCTCCACTTCACTGCTGTGTGCTATGGTAATCATGATTGGTTCCTTTAGAAATTTAACTGAAAAACTTATCTCAGTCGGGACACGTGTGATTACAAGCCCCACTGTCCAATAACCATCCAGCTGACGTCCGACTGTGCGCAGTTCATGCTCTTTATTCCCCAGATTGCTATGTTTCCACTTGTGCAGCCTTGCAATCTTGACGCTTGTGCCATTTTTGTTACATCGGTAACATCTTCCTGATAAATGTTTACCTCTTAAATTTGATCCCTCTTCATGTCAGCGAGGTCCTTTCTTGTACTTAGAAGATTGCATACTTTTCAGTACTACTTCTCGGGGCTCTGTCCTCGTCAATCTATCGTGCTCACGTCTCAGCATTTCCTCTGCGTGGAACATTGTCATGCCGGGCATTTTTTCGATTATCTTGACTATGGGTTTATAGTCGCTTGTAAACTACCACGTAGGATGACCAAATTCTCCTACGGTTAAATCTCTTGTACGACAGCTCGCATAATCATGCAGTGCTCGTCAAAACTCAGGAAATGGTCCATAAAGCTTCTCCCTTGGTGGACTTGATCTTTTTTAGCTGCCGCCGCATCTGCACGCGATTGTGCATACTCTGTTGCAAAAATACCCACGCGTCTTCCATTGTCTTCGACGCCTGCACCATTAAATAAAAAAATTGTGCTGATCATTGTTGATACATTTGCGAAAGCCTCCATGTCGTTGACTTTTCAAGTTGACGCGGTTGCGTCTTCTTCTGCTTAGGCCTTCACATCGTCTGTAGTCTCGATCAATTACTTCTCTGGCAGCTTCATCCTCGCGTTGAACTTACGCAAGAAGTAATTATCTTCGTGCAGTATGTCGCCCGCGTCCTGCGTTTTAAGCTCATAATTTAAAGACTTTTGGAAACATCCAAGAGCGATTTAAGTTTAAAACGCTTAAAAGAAGGTAAAATGTTAAAGTAAATATATCATCTAGCTATGTCCTTAATTCGTACGTTGTGCTACTCTAAGCCAATCAATGTCGACTCTACAAAATCAGTAACAAAACGATAAGTCTATTCCATCGTTTCATACAATCACACAGTTTCGTCCATTCGATGTGGTCATTAGTACCACATACAACGACACTATCAATACATTGTTTGGCTCATATTCGTCAAATAGACAGTTGTCAGTAAGCCACTAATGTAAGTAGAACCCCAGGAAGTACACTGGCCTATGGGTTCGTAGACAAGCACCCCTCCCAACTCAAGCTCGCTATAGGAAGCCGTTTTTCAAATCCAGTGGTAAGGGAGAAGAAACGTAAAGGCCAGGCGGTTAATACCACTAAGACAAGTATTGACCAGGCGCAACCAGCACCTGATGCAACTGGTTATAAGACCACTCTCGAACAAGTCGATCGATAGGCCGCCTTAACTGAACCCCGAACGAGGCATAAGTGCCCCCCCACTTCTACCTCCATATAGGCCTACGTCTACAATCGTCACCAAATCCTCCAAAGACTGCAATACACTTGTCCGACGGGTACACAAGGTGAGTCAAGGTTCGCAAGCGGCATCGGGGTACAACCTCCGACAGTCGGCATTCCGACATAGTGAGTGTTTTGGGGTCTCGTAAAACGGTTTTTACTATCCACTCCACCACAATAGTGCGCGTGCCCGGATCTTCGGAAGACGCGGGACTTCACGGCGAGTCCCAAGATGAAGAAGACGTTAAAGTCAAGATATAACCGAAGAAGCACTGGAAGACCAAACGCCAGTGGCACGAGAAGACAAAAACAAATTGTCGAAGGACCGACCGCACCTTGGGAGGGGTCCGGTTGACATGGTCAAGGTTGAAATAATTGAATTAAACCAAACACCCTCGTTGTGTCCTTTTTTAAGGACGTCTTGAGTAATGCTAGCTATCATGCTCCAGTGGACCATCCATCAACCGACGGGGGGACCGAAAAGCTATGGTCCCCGAAACAACTTACCCCTCCACTTACCAAGTCCAAGCCGAAGAAAACAAGGATGAAAGTGCCGGGGACACCAAGTCAATAAGTCCCGACAAATCATGACCATCGACCGATTCGGGCCATCGGCCGACAACGCACTCGGTAAAAATGTGGTCTCCGGCACCAAAACACCCCAAGATCGCTAAGCTTAAGCCAAAATACACGAAGTCGAAGGAGCCAGTGGACATCAAGCCGGTGGTCCATGGCCAAGCAGGCCGCCAGCCTGGTCGGACGATGTAGTAACGATCGCCTGCCACCGACGCAAGCTGGATACACTCCTGGCTAACGACCCCGTCGCGAAAACCCTTGACATACAGCTGTATCGACGTGGAAATTGCGAGGTTGATTACGTAACGCGTGCGGGAGGTAGCCCTTCAGCTCACAGAAACGTTAGCCTACTTAATCGGGGTTACACTGTCAGCGAAGATTATTCAACTCTCTACTTTTCCTTGAGACAGCCCAATAGTTATCATCGTGAAGAAGAATAAGTTGAACACCAGGTTGTGCATTTACTACCGTTTGGTAAACGACTTGACTTAATTCATGTTCTGCCGCATGTCACTGATCAACGAGCTCCTGAAAGACTTAAATAGTGTGTTGTGGTACTGCTATCTCGATAATGCAAGTGGTTTTTGGGTGGTCAGCATGACGGAAAGAGCAAAGTTAATTTCAGCCTTCATCACCCCGTTAGGACTGTTCTAATGACTTCGGATGCCATTCGGACTCAAGAATGAACCACAGGTCTACCAGCGAATTTCGGACAACGCGTTTTACGGGTTCTTACGCATACCTCCAGGGACCCTATTTCATAAGCCAGGAGATTTGTTTGCGTCTGGGGAACCCGACACAGAGTCAGGCCCCTTAATATTAAGTCGTCGGTCGTGCATAGACGACAAACTTATACCCCTTAAATCTTGGGAGGCGTTATGCGGAAAGGTGGAGCGGTTGTTGGACGTATGCGACTACTGAAATTTTGAACTAGTGCAGTCAAGAGTTCTTGGGGATGTCGAAGAATCGAATACCCGGCCACCGGGTATCAGAGAAGGATTGGAAGCCCACCACAAGGACATCTAAGCACTACTAAACCTACCTCTGCCAACAAATTCCAAGGCCACGCAGTCGTGTCTTAACAGTCTGAATTACTACAGGACATTTTTAAAGGATTATGCTATCTTTGCGTCATTTCTATACGAGTTGAGAAAGGTGGACTTTCACGCGTGTCGATGAAAGTTAAACGGTGGTCACCACTCAGTGACCACGGGTGACGACAAAGAGACATGGTCTTGGGTTCAAGTGGATTTTGATATGCTCAAGAAAAAGATGGCTACACCGCCTATTTTGCGGTATTTCGACCCATCGAAAGACGCGGGTGATTATTGTCTACGCAAGAAAATGGGCCGTCCCAGCGTCGTTGGCGCGGGACTATGAATTCCAATATATGCCAGTGACCTTCACGAGCCGGAAACTTAAGGCCAACGCGATGATTTACAGCACCATGGAGTAAAAAGTGTTGACGCTGTTACGGATATTTGCAGCTTATTTTACGATTTTGGTCACCCGATCTCTTAAATAAATTACGAGACACTCGGCGTTGGCCTGGTTGTTTAAATCCTCTAGATTGCAGGGGCGCCTGGGAAATTGGGCCGCTCTCTCTTGTCCCAGTGGACATTAGATGTTGTGATGTGAAGTGCAAGAAAGGCAAAGACCAGGTGCTGAGGGCGTTGGCGACCAGTACCCCCCCCCCGCTAGGGTGTAGCCTCAATGCTATCGGCTATTTCACCTAAGAAACAGGCGAAGCTGAAGATTGACCTATCTACACCTACTGTATAAAAAAATTTGGAGCTATATGTACTGAACTCTGATGGATTAGCTTGTGGGAATAAGGACGAGAAGCTTGTAGCGCTGTCGTACGGAGCATGCCTACGTGGTCGAAAGTAAGCGCCGCCTCCAAATATGTCAAGGTATCGAAGGTGAATGAAGCCAAATACGAAGGCATGTTGCTGGTTTTCGAGTTGTTAGAACCTTTGGAAAGACGAAGACTGATTAGCTGTGGAGACTCCAATCTGGTTGTCGGGCAAATGCGCGGAGGAATCGAGTGCAAGGCATCAGGGCTGTCTCCATTGCGTGCAAGAGCTCTGAAAAAGCTTCAATCGTGTAATTTCCACGAGTTACTCCACTTAAAGCGTGATTGGAACCAGAGTGCGGACCAGCTGGCTAGTGAAGCATTACACAGACAAGGAGGGGTCGAGTCAGTACCGAGGGAAGCGTAATCAGGGTTGGAAGTGATCAATCGACTGCCAGATCTGTTAGTCTCAATAGATAAATTTGGATGGTATGAGTACTTGCGGTGACCCGAACAAGGCCACTCATCAAAATGTACGCAGAAACGATGCAAGAAGATGTTTTTCAACAATAGCTGCGAGTGGAACGTATCCGAAAGGCTTAAGAGGAGGAGAGATAGGTAAGGTATTATTGGCATGTTCAAAAAGGGGACTAGGCGGACTAGGCGGCCTATCGGCAGAATCGGTGAAGTTATGTAGCAAAATGGCCAGAGGACGTGAGATCAGCAAAGAAGGATTACTGGTATACTGTCCCGTCCACAAGACCGACGAGGGCGACCGAGAATTGACTTCCCGACTGGTGATCCCCCAAGCCCTCCAGACTGACGTGTTAAAAAACTACCACGCCAGTCTAGATGGCGGTCACCAAGGTGTCGGTTGTACCTACTGTCGGATCCACCGGTGTTACCTTTGCAGAGGCTTGTTTTGAAGTGTGCAACGGTATGTGGGCTTACGTGTAGGTTTCGAGACGGATAAGGGGGGCCTACCCTATAAGGGACAACCCAGGTAATGTCAAGGAGACTTACCCTTTCCAGGTCATAGCAATGAAACAAAATCCCTCTATGCCCAAGTCACGTAAGGGAAAACAGAAATCTTGATTTGGGTCGACTTATTTACGGGGTATGTGATGGAGGCAAGTTTTTCACGAGCTGCTCAAACGGTGGCCGAAGGGTATGAAGAATGTTTTCTTCAGCGTTTTGAGGCCAGCGAGATGATCCGCCATGACCGAGAACCCGTCGGACTTTTATTGAGCGTTCAATCGCCTAATGGGTCATCGTCAACGGGCCAACTATTGCTTACCTACCCCAGGCGAACGGCACCGCGGAAAGAATGGTCCAAACCCTGACAAGATCTATCAAGATGTACGTCTCAGATGTGGCGCAGCAAGATTGGGACGAAGACACAGAACGGCTGACGTTCGCACTGAACATTGCAGACGATTGTGTGCGAAAAGAGACAACAATCGATATGGCCCACATGTGGGACGGTAGAACCACCGTGAAGGCGACTTTGCCAGTGGTGAACACCTTATTCAAAGGGTCGGGAGCTTGAAGGTGGAGGTACGACATCCAGAGTCACAACCAGCGCGCGAGGTATAAAGCGAAAGAGCATTCGCGGTCAGCCTATCAAGCCTAGGTGCTAACTCATAATAAACAAGAGGTGGGTCAAAAGGATTGGCCAGGTATCCAAGTGTGGCTCTACTTATACCGTGTAAAGGAAGGGTAAACCAAAAACTTGGCTAACCTCTAGCCTGGTCCGTTACGAGTTTTATATTTGGTCGGTGAATATGCTGCGCGGTCGGAAGTAAGGAATACGAAATACAGATTGTTCCCGGCCGTTCAAATTTCCAAGCTCAAAAAAGGTCACGGAGTTCCCTAATCGCCTAGGTGGTCGTTTGACAGCAGACGAATCCGACCGGATAGAATATGACGAGTGCTTGTTGCCGGAAGATAGCTGGACACGCAATCTAGAGGAGGATGAATACAAAGTGGAAGATATTTTTAGAAAGCCGTGTCAGCAAGAAGACGTGATACAATCGGCAACGGCGCAAGTTCTTTATCCGTTGGAAGGACCACGCAGACCCCTGTGGGTCGAAGAAGTGGATATGAATCGCATGAGTTAGATCGCAGGGGACCATGTGATCTAAGACGACCAACCAAGTGGCAACTGCAGGAACCGCCCCTACGGGAGGTTTCAGCGCACAGAGGATTAGATTGTCGGCGATGGCCGATCTAAAAGAATTTTTAGGAAGTGATTAAGACGAATAACGTGCTAGAGGTTGGTTTAACAAGATGAAGACTGCGTTTCTACGCGATCAGGCTCCAGACGACGAGAAATGTCTGGTATTTAAAGACAAACTCACAGGACCTGCCCGAGATTGGTACAGCCAATTAAGCCGATCGACTCGCGATGATTGGAAGTCGTTGTCAGAAGGCTTCTTGGTCCGATATGGAGGACACGGAATGTCAGCGGGAAGACAATACTTTCATGCGCGGAAGATACCGATTGAAACCCCGTTGGAATACTTGGACCGGTCGAATGTAGCAGGAATGCGAGCAAAAGTGGCGTTCAGAGATGGATAGCCATCAAGCCGACGTGAGCATGTAGAACACTTCATTGACACTTTGGATGATCGAGAGTTGGCGAAGCAACTGACCCTATTGCGAGTGCATGATGGTAACCGATGGAAGAAACTCTATGCGCTTATCAGCGCATGAGGTTTCGACAGAAAAAGGATCTGACTGACTCGAACAAGTACCGATCGCGATCGGCTACGACGCCAGCCCAGGTATATTCGAAGAAACCACGGATGGTGAAGGCTATTCGTGCAGAAAGTGAGGAAAGCGACTCAGGCTCAAGTTCGGACGATGCAGATGAAGAACATTTTCGCCGTAAGGTTTATGTGACGACTATCACAGATCAGGCTGCAGACCTAGAGGATCAACGAGACAGATCGCAAAAGACAGACCGAGATGATGATCACGATCGGGACATAATTGCGAAAGCCTGCACACACTGCGGCTCGAAAAACATGACAATCGCGGATGCTGGAAAAGATTGACCTGTCAGAAGCGTGGCTGAAAAGGGCACCCCTCAGCCAAATGTCTAAATGTGTGTTCCGCTTGTATGGAAGTTCACGAGAGCGGCCAATGTCCCATGGAAGAGTTCTACAACCTGATCCGCAAGTGGTACGTCCCAAACAAGCACGCAGGACTACTACCGACCAAGGCAGAAAAGATGTTAAACCAGGATGCTCGCCAGGATGGAATCTGGCACGAGCCGAGCGTTTTAAGCTATGCAAATTTGCATTTGTGGAGAAGGGCAGGATCGATCAAGGGATTAACAATCAAATCGACCCGACCGCTGATACATGTGATTTGGAACACGATCGGCTGTGTGATATTTCAAGTGTAAAAATGGTGGATGAACATTCACGATCTCCCGTTAAGATGGAACTCGATCTAGCGCCGGGGGAATCGAGAGGATATTGAAAATATCACACGCCAGGAAAATGGTTTAAACAGGCTAAACCGGTGGGGAAATCAATAACGTGAAGGCCACCATGCTATTCGATTCTGGAGCCGAATTTTCAATCGTAGACGCCACTTTTGCTCGTTAGGTGGGATGTGTGCTTATTGACAGCCAGAGACAGGAATGCGTGGGAATCGGAAAGGATGTCTACATGACGGAAGGACGCACCAAAATTAAGATCACATTAAAAGGAACGCTGGTGTATTACTTTGACGTTTGAGTGGGCGATCAAGTGGTTTAAAAAGCGATTTAGGAATGGACTTGATGGTGCCAGCGGGAATACGGATAGATCTGGCGGACGGTACGCTTTGTTTGCCAGATGAGGTGAAAATTTACTTGGCAGGGCGCAGGTCTCCGTATGGGGTAAATATACAACCGATCGTTATCCCAGACCAACATACAGCAATTCCTGCTGTAGAATCCACGGAGATGAGGATTGGAGCAGGTTTACCTAAGTTCAAACTATGGGTGAGACGGGACAAAAAAGGGGTGCCGACGGTGAATACTGGACCGGGCCAGGTTAAGTACTTGATACTGACCAACATCGTCGATTAGCAGGTGATTCTTAATCACGATATCCCTTTAGGGTGGTGGATGATGACGGACATGATACCCAGATCGCCGGGCTATGTATCAGTTGGATCACGCCGGTACAATGAATGGCAGACCCTGGCGTTTGAAGCTACAACTGAATCAACCAAGGAACATCCGATCGAGTATTTGAGGCACTTAGTGAATCACCCATCATACCCCATCCCAAAGAAGATTCTGACCCACAGAGATTACAAGGAAGGAATATGGAGGGAAGCCGATCAGATCTGCTAGCTCCACAAGCAAAGATAACGGATGTCACAGAACGCCATATCGTGAAAGAGGATCGCCCCGATAGCGACGAGCAGCGATCACAAGAGGCACCTGCCGTGGTCAATACCGCAGTGAAGGCAGAAGAGGGCTATCGGTCACAGGAACACTCGGACGACGTAATCAGACAAGCACAAGAGATCGCGATCGGCGATGATTACCCGGTCGGAGACGATCAAGAGCTCAAATTGTCAGATCAAAAGATACAGAATGCTACAGTATTGAATCGCGAGGGAGACGTGACAGACTAGACTCAAACGAAATCGGTGGCTTATCGCCACGATGGTGGTGATTTATTTGCGGAAGATTTGGGCCAACATGTGGCACTCTTGCCAGAAATTATTGCGCCCACAAAGGCAGTTGCTATAGATGACATCCAGGTTGGCGATCCAGGTGTCCCGCTGACAGACGATCAGGAGAAGCTGAGGCAACTGATTTGGAAGAACTGCCACTTACTGATAGGCAAAGGGAACGCCTTGCCTCCAGCTGCGCGTGGAGCAGTATGTGACATTGATGTTGGAGGTGCCAAACCGATCGCGCAGAGAGTACGGCCGGTGGCACCTAAATATCGGGCGAAATTGGCGACCCTGATCAAGGGATTAATATTAGCCAAGATCATTTAACCGTCCATTTCACCTTGGTCTTTTCCGATCGTGGTGATTATCAACAAAATGCGTAGGACATACGGCTGTGCATCGATTACAGGAGGGTGAATCAGTTGACAAGATTGATGATATACCCCATGCCACTAATCAGCGAATTATTACAAGACTTGGATAAAGCGATGTGGTATTGTTCGCTAGATATGGCGAGTGGGTAGTATGTAGTGGAAATGACGGAACGAGCAAGAGCTATTTCTGCATTCATCACGCCGTCGGGTTTGTTTGAATGGTTGCAAATGCCTTTTGGGCTTAAATACGCTCCCCAGATATACCCACAACTTATCGACAATGCTCTATATGGTTATTTCAAGATCGACCCAACACTTAACTCGCATGCAGTACCATTGTCGACACCAACCGATGTGTTCACTGACAAAGTGCCGGACACAGATCCAAGACCATCAGTTTTAGGCCGAAGGTCCTATATCGATGACATTTTGATACCTGCTACATCCTGTTCATTCCTGTATGAAAAGGTGGAACGATTGCTAGAGGTGTGTGGCCGATGAAAATTAACGATCAGTGTGGCAAAGAGTTTCTGGGGACGCTGTAAGGTCGACAATCTAGGCCACCAAGTTTCACACAAAGGGTTGGAAGCCCACCCCAAGGATTTAAATTCAATTGCGAATATTCCCTCGAGCTCTGCGATCAATGCAATCATTCATGGGAAGCCTAACTTACTACAGTCGTTTTATCGAAGACTTCGCTATATATGCGTCTGTGCTCCACGAGCTACGGAAAGCAAATTTCCACGAGATCAACCAAGATGAAGAATTTGAATAATGGTATCCAACAGTGAACCCGATCGTGATCACGATTCGCGAAATGAGTTCGGCGACGATCTAGACCAAAAAACAGGGGGCTATCTGGACCGGAAAACAGGGGGCGATCTAGATTCTGGAAGTGGAGTTGATGGAAGGAAGCGGTGATGGCTTTTAACTTGCTAAAGGGCAAAATTGCTGAAACACCGATCTTAGGAAATTCTGATCCAGATCTAGCACCGGTGATTGTGGTGTACGCCATTAAGTGGGCGGTACAGCCGCATTGCTTCAAGAGTATGACGGCACGTATTGGCCTGTCATTTTTTCTATTCGCACGCTGAAATCCAACGAATCCAATTACGAATTGTTGAGAAAGAAGTGTTAGCCCTCCTCCGAATGTTAGACATTTGTTATACGATTTTGGTTATGCGGGAGATTATGGTGCTTACGAGATACTCGACGTTAGTTTGGCTGTAGCAGTCGTCGGGTCTTAACGGAAGACTAGAGAGATTGGCGGCGTTACTATCGAACTGGACGTTAGATATCGGACGGTGCGAAAAAGGCGAAGACGAAGTGCTAGGTACGCTTGCTGCAATTATAACACCTCGAAAGGATGTAGATGAAGTGCTGATCGCGATCGCTCCAAGGAAACAACCACGGAAAAACATAAGTATGCCACCACCCACAGTCGAAGTAGACGAAAGTGTCCTGGTGGTCAGTTTCGATGGATTGGCTA